GAAGTAATGGAAACATGCATATGACATCCAATTTGTACAGGTGCACATGATGTATAAATTGTGAATTAGTCTAAAAAATATATTTTTTTCTCTATACTTAAAGCTTGAAAAAGGCTGTCGAAATGCTAAATTATCACACAACTACAGATTTGTACAGGAACCAATAGAAACACCTTAGGAGGGACCAATATAAGTTGTATGAACTTACGACACATTAATGGGATGCACCATTTGTGAATTAGCCTTAAAATTAATTTTTTGTTCTCATAATCTCAAAAAAAGTCTGTTACAGGGATAAATTGTATAATTATTCTAATTGTAAATTGATGAGTTACTAATGTTTTTAATCTTTTGTATAATTGATTAATTACTAAAACTTTTAATTTATTTTTTTGCAGATTGGATTGGGGTGGCATTTTTGACGTGCAACAATGATGTAATTTGCTTGAATGTTCATTTTTGTTTGATAAGGATGCACATACTTTTTGGAGTTGCACTAGTTATTTTTGGATTTTTGGTGGAATTGAACAAGTTATAACTTTTGGATATTTTGTGGATATTTCACTATTTTATTGTATTAGGATGAAATTATTTTTAATGATGAATGGATATCTTCATTTTGTTTATTCGTAAATGTGTTGATAACAGGTTAGGTTAAGTTGTGATGGAATTGTTATATTCAACAGGTTTCAACATGAACAGGATTATATTTGTTGAACTAAAATTTAGATTTTGATAAAATAGGTATATAATGTGGAAAAAAATATTATGGAATTATTGACAAAATTTTTCATCCCTAAAGAAGGTTTTTTTGTCTCTTATTTGGCTTAGGTGGATGATTAATTTTGTCATGAATTCTTTATTTCGTCGCTAAATGAATTTGTCATGACAAAAAATATTGTTACATTTTGTCACTATTATCTTCAATGTGTGACGAATTTTTTTTGACATTATTTCATTATTTTTAATATGATGAATTTGTTTGTCTCTATTGGTAGCTTCTGTGACAAATTTTTTTTTTTGTCTTCGTTTATATTAAACGTGACAAAATTATTTTGTCTCCATTTCTTATTTTTATGACAAAATACTTTTGTCTCTAATTTCTCTTTAAATGACAAAATATTTTGTCGCTAATTACTTCCAAGTATGTTCCCAACAGAATGTATTGGAGACAAAAAAATTCGTCACAAATTTATCATTTTTAATGATGAATTTGTTTTTGTCTCTATTGGTAGCTTCTTTGACAAATTTTTTTCTGTCTTCGTTTATATTAAACGTGACAAAATTATTTTATCTCTGTTTCTTATATTTATGACAAAATACTTTTGTCTCTAATTTATGCCTTTAATGACAAAATATTTTGTCGCTAATTACTTACAAGTATGTTCCCAACAGAGTGTATTGGAGACAAAAAAATTTGTCACAAATTTTTCATTTTTAATGATGAATTTGTTTTTGTCTCTATTGGTAGCTTCTTTGACAAAAAATTTTCGTCTTCATTTATATTAAACGTGACAAAATTATTTCGTCTCTATTTCTTATATTTATGACGAAATACTTTTGTCTCTAATTTCTCCTTTAGTGACAAAATATTTTGTCGCTAATTACTTACAAGTATGGTCCCAACAAAGTGTATTGGAGACAAAAAAATTCGTCATAAATTTATCATTTTCAATGACGAATTTTTTTTTCCGTCTCTAAGACCCTTTAGTGACGACCCTTTGACGACAAAACGGGTGACGAAAAATGTTCGTCGTAATTACTTTGGGTGATGAAATATATACATTTTGGGACAAATTTGTTTCGTCTTTAAATCCCAAATTTGTTGTAGTGTGATGATGAGTTGCAGGCTTTGATGCTACTTAGTTCTTTGCCCGAAAGTTGGGAGACTTTGGTTGTGACGGTTAGTAATTTGGCACCTGATGGAGTTGTCACAATGGGCCAAGTCACTAGTAGCTTGTTGAATGAAGAAACTAGAAGAAAATCAGCGGGTTCCTCTCATTCAGAACCATTTGTTGTGAGAGGCCGAAGCAAAACAAGGGGGAGGAGTAAGACTCCTCATGGTCGTTATCAAAACCGAGACAAATGAAAAGATGGTTCTTTTTCAATATTATTGCCATGAGAAAGGGCACATGAAGCGAGAATGCCGAAAGCTCAAGAACAAGGAGAAAAGGCGTGACAAAAGTGTGGATAAGAAGAAAGATGACACAATAGTAGTTACTACTGATGGTCTCATGGTCGTTTTGTGAAGATGATTGTATCAATTTTGTGGGCCAAGAGAACAATTGGGTGATTGATTTCGGTGCTTCTTTTCATGTGACTTCTCGAGTTGATTTCTTCACTACTTACACCAAAGGAGATTATGGTTCTGTACGAATGGGTAATTAAGGTTTGTCCAAGATTATTGGCATGGGTGATGTTTTCTTGGAAACAAATTTGGGCTACAAGTTGTCGCATAAAGATGTGAGGCATGTTCCCGACATTCGCCTTAATTTGATCTCTACTGGGAAGCTAGATGATAAAGGCTTCAACAACAAATTTGGTGATGGAATATGGAAGCTCACAAAGAGATTTTTGGTGGTGGCTAAGTGCAAGAAGACTCATACACTTTATTCGATGCAAGGAAAAATTTGTAAAGGTGTTGTCAATGCACTTGAAGATTATACTTCTACCGAATTATGGCACAAGCGGCTTGGCCACATGAGTGAAAAGGGACTGCAAATTTTGTTCAAGAAAGAGCTTCTACCCGGTTTGAAAGGTACACATCTTAAAACTTGTGTTCATTATTTGGCAGGTAAACAACATAGAGTTTCTTTTCAGAAAAATGTTGCTTCTAAAAAAGAAAATGTTTTGGAGTTGATTCATTCGGATGTTTGTGGTCCTTTAAAAGTTAGAACACATAGTGGTGCACTTTATTTTGTTACTTTCATTGATGATTATTCAAGGAAAGTTTGAGCTTTTCTATGAAAAACTAAAGATCAAGTTCTAGAAGTATTTAAGCATTTTCAGGCCATGGTTGAAAGAGAAACAGGGCAGAAATTGAAGTGCATCCGATCAAACAATGGTGGTGAATACATTGGACCATTTGATGAGTATTGTCGCAGCCAAGGCATTCGACACCAAAAGACAGTTAAGAAGACTCCTCAACAAAATGGCGTTGCCGAGAGAATGAATCGCACCATTGTGGAAAGAACAAGGTGTTTGCTTTCACAAGCTAAATTGCCAAGATCCTTTTGGGGTGAGGCAATGAAGACAGCAGTTGACATGATCAATTTGTCTCCTTCATATCCATTGAATGGTGATGTTTCAGAAAGAGTTTGGACCCGTAAAGATGTATCTTATGAGCACTTGAAAGTGTTTGGTTGCCGAGCTTTTGTTCACATTCTAAAAGATAAGAGGTCCAAGCTTGATAGTAAGTCAAGACAATGTATTTTTCTTGGCTATGGACGTGATGAATTTGGGTATAGATTGTGGGATCCGGTCGAAAAGAAAGTCATTCGAAGCCATGATGTTGTGTTTCTTGAAGACCAAACAATTGAAGACTTTGGCAAATGTGATCAACTGGAGCCAAAAACTAGTGATCTCATTGACATGGATCAATCTCCTTCATCTTCAGTTGATGGTGAAAACGGGAGAGATGTGCAACCACCTATTGAAGAAATGGAGGATGATGCTAATCTTAATGAAGTTGAGCCAGAAATTGAGGAAGAGCATCCAACTCAAGAACCGCCACCACAACTTGAGTTAAGAAAATCTACAAGGGACCGACAACCTTCAAGAAAGTATCCTCCCAATGAATTTGTATTGATTTCCGATCAAGGGGGGCTTGAGAGCTACCAAGAAGCAATTGAGCATGCAAAGAAAGGTGATTGGAAAAAGGCCATGGACAATGAGATGAATTCCTTGCTTGAAAACCAAACTTATGATTTAGTGAAGTTGCCTAAAGGGAGGAAAATTCTGAAAAATAAGTGGGTCTTCAAATTAAAGAATGATGGCAAGAATCTGAGGTACAAAGCACGTCTTGTTGTGAAAGGCTTTGGGCAAAAGAAATGTATTGATTTTGTTGAAATTTTCTCGCCAGTTGTGAAGATGTCTTCTATTCGGGTTGTACTTGGCATGGCTGCAAGTATGAACCTTGAAGTTGAACAATTTGATGTGAAGACTGCATTT